AACCACAGGAGTGGCCCAGGGCGCAGGACCCTGAAACTGACTCTGCCATGGTCCAGACTGGCCTGATGGTGCCGGCTGTGTGCCCATGGGCCCGCAGAGCAGGGATGGCAGTACCCCACCCCACTCTCACCCCCAGATCCCAAAGTCTGTGGTTGCTTTGATCCCAGATAGATGAAGTGGGGAAGGGTTGGCATACGGCCTGCACACCTGTACACACATCCTCCTGTTTACTTTAAGCCATCCCAATTACTTCCAGCCCCGCCCTCAGTGTGAGGTTACGGCAGCGGGTGGTGTGCTGTGTTGTTGAGGACAAGTGGCAAGAACAGCAGCTCGTACATGCGAATGCTTTCTTGAACATTCCGTTGAAATACGGAGTACATACCAAGAAAGGAGTGTCAGTGTATGGACACATGAGGTTTTGGTCTCCGGATCCCAGGCATAGGCTAACACCCAAACTGAGAACAAAGCGTGATGAGCACCCTAACAGCTCTCACGCTTCCCCATGTGGGAAAGGAGAGTGTACTGTCATTTACATGGAATGGTTCAGTGATGTGATAAGTGTAGACCCAAAAGATGACATCCACATGGTCTTTGTACTGTCTTGACTATCATCCACGGGGGAAAAGCAAACTAACATTTGTCTTTTGGAGTCTGGCTTACTTCACTTAGCACGGTGACCTCCAGGTGCTTCTGTTTTTCTTGCAAATGTCCGGATCTCGTCCTTTTTTATGGCTGAGCAGTATTCCGTTTGGGATCAGTCGGTCATCGCTGGCTGTGAATTGCAGAGCCAGGGAACGAGGCCATCCTAGCCTGCACACATGCACATGCTGCCTTCTGCCGTGACGGGGCCGTGTTCCCAGGAGGGGGCAGCTGCCGCTGCAGACAGCCCCATGTTCTGACCTGCTCCACCGGCTGCTGCGTCCTCATTAGGAGTGGCCCGTGAATAAACCCCCCACTTGCCTACCCACGAATACCTTCTGGGTAATTTTATCTGCGATGGGGAATTTGGTGCGATAAAATAGAAGAAGCAGCTTTGCCTGCCCGCCCTCCTCCCCCGCCCCAGCCAGTGTGCCTCAGTCACGATGAAGGGCCCTTCTGGGTCCCTAGAGAATGGCCACTGACGCCCTGGGGACTCCCAGTTTCCCACGTGCTTGAGTGTCTTCTGAAATAGTGATGATGGGGGCAGCCCTGTGGGCGGGGCCTGGTTCTGGGCATGGCCCAGGCACAGCACTGCTGGAGCACTCGGCCCCGCAACTCCAGGACATCAGGAATACTAACTTTCCCATGGTACCTGCAGGGAAAACTGAAGCACGGAGAAATTTTAGCTGCTTAGAGGCCACCCAGCTGATCAGTGGCTGTTTCTGAGGCTGAGAGACCCCCAGCAGTCTTGAGGGGGTATGGCTCAGCAGACAGAATTAGCTTGTTTCCTTGCTCATGCCCAGCAGGAGTGGGGCAGAAAGCAGGGGAGCCCAGAAAAGTGGTCTTGAGGTGTTTGGTAAACGGTCTGGTGTCTGGGAGTCCAGACCCCTAGAGTGTGCCTTTTGCATACCATGGAAGAGCCACAAGGGCCTCTGTGGCCTGCTGCCCCCTCTGCAGGCTGGCATGATGGGTGCTGAACACAGACCCCACACAGGCTGCATGTGCACAGCTGCCCTTTGCCCTCTGCCTGTGCTAGTGCCCCAGACAGACAGCAGAGCCTGGGCTCTGGCCACGGTAGATGTTGGTGTCGCATTGTCCGGAGGTCTTATGTCTCCAAGTTAAGCTGGTGGTGAAAAAAATCCATTTCTGAAAGTCCACAGAAACCAAGCCCAATGTCTCCATTTCACTCAGCAGTGTGTCCCTTGGTTGGTCCTCCCTCCCCGCTGCCCCCATCCGGACCTGCAGACAGGAAGTATGAGTGGTTGCACTCAAGAGATTTTAGTTTCTGGTTTTAAAATGTGTGTTAATAATTAGCATATGTGCCCGAAAGTGATGAACCAGGCGATGTTTAGACGATCTGTCGCCGCTGGCTGCAAGCATGATGCTACCGGCAGGTGCCCCTGTTGACACTCACGTGTGCCCCTGGTCTTAGGTGACCCTAAGTTAACCTAGGAGGTAAGGCCACTGTCCATGATGGTCTCCACATCGAGGTGCAAGGCACAGAGAGGTCTGCTGCCTGATCTGAGGTTACACAGCTGATTTGGGACAACTTATAGCCAGGTCTGTGTGCTACAAAGGTTTGGGTGCAACGGGATGAAACAGTATGTGCTCTTGGGTGGAAAGAGAGATCAACTCTGCTGTGGGACTTGCTGGAGGAAGAGGGGCCTTAGGGTGACAGGCAACAGGTGTTAGAAGGTCTGACCAAGACCTGGTGTGATCAGGCATCCCCTGTACGGCATTGCCTCCCCTCCTTGGCCCAGCCCTGCGGAGCTGCAGAAGGCTTGGGTATGTATGGCCTGTGCTGCCCTACTGTGTGCATCCCCAGGCACGTGGGCCTGGTTTTTCTGGCTAGAGTTCTGAGGAAGTAAGGTGCATGGAATGAGGCCCGTGGGCGGTGGAGTCATGTGGCCCGGGCCCATCTCTGCCTCCCTGTTCCTTGCTGTGTGGCTTTGCTGGTGGGCTGTCTCGTTAGACACCTCACCTGTAAGATGTGGGCAGGATCGGCCCTTGCTTCTGGATCTTGAAAGGCTGAGGCAGGTCCCTGCCTGGGAGGGGCTGGCACGCAGTAAGGGCTGCATCAGTGCCCAGAGAGGTGCCCAAGGAGGGCAGTGGACAGAAGCTGCGGTGTCTCGCAGTCTGTTGGAGCCTGTAGGCTGCCCTGTTGCCGGAGAGGTGTGTGACTCGTCCTGCCCACATGTGTCCTGCCTGTGCCTCGAAGGAGCCAGTGGACTGACCTTTGCTTAGCTACCTGGATGATACCTGTCCCTCCGGGGTGGCCTGTCCATGGCCTCAAGGCTGCGGACTTAATAGCTGACCCCTGGGTGTCTGTGTCCTTGCTTCCCCGGTTTCCCCATCTGACAGTGCTGGGTGGGTGATTGCTAAGGATGCCCCAAGAGCTGGCGTGCCGGAAGTGCCTGGCTGTGGTTGGTGCAGCCTGATTGACAGCGCAGTCTGCCACCTGAGGAGGGGGGAAGAGGTCACCCCCCTATCCGCTTTGGGTCCTTGGACCTGGGGTGAAGAGGCTCCTCTCCTGGGGAATCCTGGCCCTCACAGTACCGCTTGGTGTGGTCTGGGTTTTGCCTGCCACTTACCACGCGGCCAGGGCTGAGAACTGGGAAGGGGCTCAGGCCTACTGGCTTCTGGTCAACGTCCGACGGGCTCGCCCATTGCTTACGAGTTACTGAAAGTGGTCCATCCCCTTCTGAGGAGGGATGCACAACTATATGACAGAATTCGAGTCGGCCAGCAACTGGCTAGAGAAGGCCCCTGTCAATCAGTGGTCACCATGGTTACCCCAGCGTGTCCTCCCTTTCTCAGCCTTCTGGCATGGAGCCCAGGTGACTGGTTATGAATGGAAATGAACTTTGTGATGGGGACCGAGCCTGAGGACATAGGTGTCTGTGGGATGATCCAGCAAGGAGGATTATCCCCCTGGCCCCCAAGATCTGTCCAGAGCTCACAGGCTGGAAGAATCCAGGTCAGGGTGAGCTCGGTTTGCCTGGCCTCGTGTCCATGTCTTTATCCTTGGTTTCTTGGGAGTTTCTGGCCTTTGCTGTGGGCGCTTCATAGCCGTGGGAGCTACCGCTGTGCTGTGCGCTCTGCTGTGCACTGGGGCAGCAGACATGGTCACACCCCAGCCTGCTCACAGGGACCCCCAATGTGCTGAGACTCGGGGGCATTCTACCCCTGCCTGTGCCCCTCTGCTGCCAGCTCTTGCCCTGAGTCGTTTCAGGATGCACGTCTGCTAGAACCGTGAGGCCGAGCCTGTGCGGCTGCAGCTGGACAAACGGAGCCTGTCAGCATGGGGGGCTGTGGAGGCAGTGTTAACTCCAGCTGCAAGCGCAAGGCTGCATTCATTGCTCCATTGCCCTCTTGTAGGGCTGGGAGTGTCCCCAGAGGCGGGCCTTAAGAGCCAAGGCTGGTGGGATCTGAGCTAGAGCAGCAGACGCCAGGGTGGTGAGAGGTGCTGGGGTGCAGCCCACCTCGCGTGACCTGCTCACACCATCCCGAAGTCCTGACAAGGCCTGCAGTCCAGAAAGCCACTTACCTTTGACTCAGCAGTTTCCACATGCTTGTGAGCGGGAAGAATCTTCCCCTGCTCATAAAGCTGTTCCACCAAGCACCCTGGAGATCCTGGTGGAAACGATGCGTTTCAACCCAGAGCAACCCAGAGGCTGACGACGTAGGTGGTCAGCAGGGAGGTGTATTATGTGCAAATGCGGAGTTTGGTTTGGCTGGTGCTCTTGGCCCGGAAGTGCAGCTGGGAGGCCGCGCTCTGTTCCCAGGCAGGAGAGCTGAGCCTGGAGCTGGCGGTTCCTGCTGCCTGCACTGTCTGTCATGGGAGGTCCCTATCGCCCGTTGCTCGGAAGGCGGGGGCCTTGGCTGTTGCTGCATTCCGTGTACCGTGACTTGGGAGCTGGGTCGTTGGGCTCCCGTGTCCCTCTCAGCCACCTGTATTCTCAGAATGGAGAAGGCACGTCTGGGTCAGGCAGGGCCAGAAATGAGCACCTGCGACAGTCCTGGATGCTCAGGACCTTTGGCAAATAGTCTTAGATGAGCGAGAGTTTTTTTGTTTTAATTTTTGTGAAATAATGACAGCATGGGACATGCAGGCCAGTGGGGAACTATGGAAGATCATGGGCGACTGACTGTCTGCATTTTTCTGTGGTTTCCTGCCGTCCACACCACGGTCTCTGGAAAAGGGGCCATTCCTTTGTGGAAGGGTACACTTGACCCACCTGTGCTGCTGGATGGCCGGCAGCCTTACAGTCCCTGGACCAGGAGGAGGACGGAGGGGACTTCTGCTTGCGCTCTGCTTTCTCATGCCTCCTAAAGAGTCCATCGTCCTCTTGTTTTTCCAGATGGACAGCAAGTGTGGGAGATGGAGGCGACCGTGGATAAGGACAAGAGCCAGCCTGTAAGCAAGTGGCCAAGCTGACCTGCAGCCAGCTCAGACCCCGACCCCGAGCCAGCCAGTTCCTCCCCTCCCCTCCCCCGTTCACTTCTCTTTCCCTTACTTTCCCTTTCTCTCTGCCCCTCTCCTAATCCTTTCCTTCTTTCCTTCATCACAGTGACCCCCCCCCACCTGCCCGCCACCCATAATCGGGACCTGACAGGCCACAGTGTCGCTCCACCCCGCTTTCCCCTCCCTGGGAGCTTGTCAGGACTCCTCCCGTCAGGAGCGCAGTCTCTATGTGTTGAGGGTCTGCATGCACCTCTAGGCGTGGTTGCAGTTAAGTTCATGACCCCTGCTTCCTTCCAGAACATGCTTTTTGTCGAGATCCCCGAGTATCGGAACAAGCACATCCGCACCTCTGTGAAGGTGAACTTCTACGTCATCAACGGCAAGAGGAAACGGAGTCAGCCTCAGCACTTTACCTACCACCCAGGTGAGGCACCCTCTCAGTCGGCGCCTTGCCGTAGGGTGAGCAGCACCAGGGCGTGGGGCTTGGGACACCTGAGGTCTGCCCCAGCGGGGCGACTGTGGACAGGTGACCCCACCTCTCTGAGCTTCAATGCCCTCATCTGTCAGATGGTGCCTTCCTTGTCCTAGTTAGGGAAATCAGATGCATAGAAGAGACTTGGCACATCTGGGAAGCTGGTGTCAGTGATGTTGGTCGAGGAAGGCTGTCGTTATTTTGCTTTGGGGAGAGGTCACAGACATCAGTGTGTAGCAGCACCTGCCACGGGGACAGCACCTGTCTTGTCTTAGATTTTCTTCTGCCTGGGCTAGCAGGATCACCCAAACTCCTGTACTTCCAAGAGTAATGGGTGCCGCTCACTCCTCTGTTCAGAAAACGTTTGTGTGTCAGGCCGTGTTCCAGGGCCAGAGTTGTCCAACCCAGCAGTGAGCTAGACATGAGGTATCTGTGCTCTTGTGGAGCGGGCCCACTCTGGAGCACCAGCACCACACTGGGCTGGCTGGGATGAGGGCTGCAGAGGGAACAGGTAGGGATGGCAGGGGCAGCTGTGGCTGCCAATCAAAGATACTGCTTCAAGCTGTCCCTTGGGAGGCAGGCTGTCTCTGTCCAGCGCTAAAAACCTGGGACTCGAGCCTGGCCCTCACTGCCATGTTGATTCCATCCTCTGACAGTTGTACATGGAGCCTTGGCAGGCTGGAAGTACTGAACCCAGCGGACAGCTTGGTGGACATGGCCATAGCTGGTATGGGTACCCACTACACACCTGCCCCTGGCCAAGTGGTTTCTGTGTGTATCTACTGTGGGATGAGGTGACTGCCTCTGCCTGTAACACAGAAGGAAATTGAGGCATGGGCCGCCCCTGCACCCTAACCAAGGACGTCGCTATTCTTTGGCCTGGGCAGGGTCCAAGGCTCACTTGGGTTCTGTTGGGTGCTGTTCTAGGCTCAGCAGTGAACAGATCAGGCTAAAAACTTCACTTGGAGGGTCTGACAGTATGTGCGCTGTGGTGAGAAAGGGGATTCTAGGTCCTGAATCAAGTTCCAGACATGCTCAGTGTCATGTGTCTTATCTTGTCGTCCGTGGCAACGCATGATATGAAGGAAACTGCCAACCAAGGAAGCCAGGGTGAGGTCATTTGAGGTCACAGGCCTGCTCCTGAGCCCCTGCTGGGGAGAAGACCGCTTAGCCATGCCCCAGGGCCAAGCCAGATCCACCCCCCCAAACCCCCCCCCCCTCCAGCCACCTCTCCAATGCTGGAGAAGTTAGCAGTTGGAAGTTTGGGTTTCTGATCTAAAACACTGACCCAGGCTCAGGAGGGCCAGAGTCTGGCTGTTTCTGCCCCACCCGCTAGAACCATGTTCTCATGCAACCCTCTGCCAATCCTCCTGCGTGTGTCCACACTCACTGCTACATGTGTGCCCATTTGCTTTTTTCTCCCCACAGTCCCAGCCATCAAGACAGAGCCCACGGATGAGTACGACCCCTCTCTGCTCTGCAGCCCTGCCCATGGAGGCCTAGGGAGCCAGCCATACTACCCGCAGCACCCCATGGTGGCTGAGTCCCCCTCATGCCTGGTGACCACCATGGCACCCTGCCAGCAGTTCCGCTCGGGGCTCTCATCTCCTGATGCCCGCTACCAACAGCAGAACCCAGCAGCCGTCCTCTACCAGCGGAGCAAGAGTCTGAGCCCCAGCCTGCTGGGCTACCAGCAGCCGGCTCTCATGGCCACGCCCCTGTCCCTCGCGGACACCCATCGCTCTGTGCTGGTGCACGCTGGCTCGCAGGGCCAGGGCTCGACCCTGCTGCACCCGTCTCCCACCAACCAGCAGGCCTCGCCCGTGATCCACTACTCGCCCACCAACCAGCAGCTACGCTGCGGGAGCCACCAAGAGTTCCAGCACATCATGTACTGCGAGAATTTTGCACCCGGCCCCACCAGGCCTGGCCCACCCCCTGTCAGTCAAGGTCAGAGGCTGAGCCCGGGTTCCTACCCCACAGTCATCCAGCAGCAGAATGCCACAGGTCCAAGAGCTGCCAAAAATGGACCTCCAGTCAGTGACCCAAAGGAAGTCTTACCTGCAGGAGTGACAATTAAACAGGAGCAGAACCTGGACCAGACCTACCTGGATGACGGTGAGTTTTCTGTTCTGGACCAGGAAAAATGGGGCTCTGGGGAAGGTCCCTGTGTGGCCTACATGGCCTTCCTGACCTGCCCAGGCCTCAGCATCCCTTTTTTTAACTTAGCACAAGAATAAGATGAACTGGAATGTCATGCAAGTGGTGTTTCCCAGTGAGAACCTTTGGGGGATAGAGGTGGGTTGGGTAACAGCTTTAACAAGCAAGGGCAACTCTGGCCCTAGGAGCATCCCTTGGGTTGTGAACTCACTCTGTTTAACTGTTTCCACTCCCTAGCTGGTGGCCAGATTAAGGCTGGGGACAGGCCCAGAAAAGAAGGAAAACACAAAACTGAGTTCCCTCCGTCCTGGTGGAGAGAAGCTCCATTCTTAGTGTTCTCGTGGAGGGCAGGGGAGAGGAGGAAGAGCACTCCCTAAGGAGGGGGTTGGGCAGTGGGAGTAGGGGCTGGTGGCCAGGCAGCCAGCAGAGGCTGGCCACGTGCTTCTCAGCAGAGTGCACTGATAGGGCAGAAGTTGGTTTCCACCAGGGTGGGCCCAGCGGAAGATGCAAGAGGGCCTTTGTGTGGTTCCGTAGATGCCCCAGTTTGTTGGCAGGTGTGGGGCCTGACCTGAGGGTGGTCTTGTTGGCATAGCTGGGATGTGACCTTGGCTTGCGTCATGCTGACCAGGCTGAGTTGGCACTGGCCAGGGGTAGCGGAGGCACAGAGCATGGGGCACGATCCCTTGGGGACTCCACGGAAGATGTGAGAACTACGCAGGAAGGAAACCCTGGTGGCCGCTCTCCCTGATTCCTGTTGTGAGCGCTGCAGGTGGCGGATGGCACCTGACACGCAGGTTGGAGTCAGAAAGCTTTGGCTGTTGAAGCATGGCATGTTTTCGAATTAGCGGTGTTCAGTGGTACCCCAAAACCTCAGTTGCTTGGGAGCACTAACTCTCGGGCATCCAGATAAGGAGTAGGAACTCAGAACACAGAGTTCTGTAGTCATGGGAGGTGGGTGGGTTGCTACCTTTTCTGACACTTGAGTGACGGGAAGAACCTTTGGTGCACTATCTGGATAAGCTAGGTTATCTGGGGCTCTGTGGCTTCTAGAAGTTTCCATGCCTTATCTCTTGTAAAATGATCCACCCATCCATCGAAAACCTCCCCCTTCCTGTAGGCTAATACCACCCAGGTGCCTCCCCAGGCCGACCTCAAGGTCCTGCTTCTGAATGATTGATAATCCGATCCCAGATAACCAAATGCAGCTAGGGCCCCCCTGTGTTCCATTTTAGATTTGCCTCTGCTTGCCTGCATGGGGCAGGGCTAAGATGCGGTGCAGGTACCTGTTCTCAGGGGGTTGATCTCCAGTGTTTGCGTGGTGCCTGGTGCCTGGCAGTGGGGGCAGTTGACAGATCTATCTGTGTGCAGGGGTGGTTGTGTTACGGTTGAGCTGCTTTATAAGTGGAGGTCCAGGTTGTTACCAGCAATGCCTGGTGGTTCTCTCCTCAGCTTAAGCCGGGAATCTGTTGCTGTTGCAGACAGGAAAGTTGATTTGCGAAGGGTCCAGGTGAGCAGGAAAGGGGAAAGGACCTCCATAGAGAAAGCCAGGAGGTGGGGTGCCTCTCCTGCAGAGGGAGAGACAGACACCAAAGGTTTGGGGAAGGGTCTTGGGATTTTAAGCATTCCCTGACCCCTCCTTGTTGGGCAGGGAACCTACAGGTAAGATGTTCCCCATGGGTAGTCTGATAATTAGTTAGGAAATGGGTGGGCAATGCTGGTGCCGCCCACCTGAAGGTGTGGGCAAGACCCCAGCAGGCCTGGATGGTCTCAAGGTCACTTCCCAGTGGTCTCTGAGGCTGGCAGGTCTGTTCCCTATCCCTGGTTCCCACGAGCACCTCTCAGTGTCTCTGTGAACCCAAGTGGGCTCTGGCCACAGCGCTGTTTGCTGTCTTTTAAAAAAGTTACAGAGGATGGCTAGGTGTGCAGGACTTTGTGAATGCTGGTGGCATCTGCATCATGGTCACAGCAACTCCTGGTAGTCCCGTCCCCTGCTGGCTCTTAGCAAATGGAGCGTGGCACCGTTACTGCTGCTGGAAGGACCCTCAGAACGTTCTGGATGACCAAGCCATGCACATTGTTTGCTGTTTGCTGAGACTGCAGCCCTGCCGGGCGCTGGGTGACCAAAGAGGTGGACCTGGAACCTGCCTATCTGCCCCCTGCGGCAGAGGGACCTACGGGCGCTACATCCGGGCCCACCTGTCCCTCACGGGCTGCTCGGGTCCATGAGCCCCTGGCGTTAGTCTTGAGAGTTTTTGGAAGTGTGGCAGGAACTTGGTTACTGTGCCAGTAGACTCTGGGGCTGTGGAAGGCAGCTAGATAGGTGGGCAGGAAGAGGGCAGTGACCCAGCTGGGAGGCGACCACGCCCCTTCCCTGGGGGCTGACGCCCTTGGGGTTTGGTAACCTTACACCAGAGCTGGAGTGACCCAGGGGGTCTTGACTGGGGTCTCACTGGGCTCCCTCTCTGTGGCACCTGCTCCCTGGTCTCTGGGCAGACTGTGTGAAGTTCCAGGGCACAGTGCTCCCAGTTGTGTTGCTTGGGTGCTTTCTTCTAGTTCTTTGTTCCTGTGGCCCTCGGACCTGTTCTCTGCCCTTGACCCCTTGTCTCTTGTTCCATTAGCTCCAGGTGGTATCAGGAGTCACCAGCCCCTCCCAGCAGTGGATGCTGTGGCTGCGTTCTTGCTCCCCTCCCCCAAGCCCTGGCCATCCTAAACCCTTTCTCTTTGTCCCTGACTCCTCTGTCCTTCACTCCATCCTTCTTACACCCAGACATTTTGCTGGCTGCCTGCCCTGTGCCAGGCACTACCCTGGGACTTGGAAACACTGATGACCAAGTCCACAGAGAGCCTTGCTTTCGTGGGTTCTTGTTGGTGAAGGGGTAGATGCTAGCAGAGCAGGTGATAGGCAGGTGAGCTCAATTCTGACAGCAGTGAGAACCACGAGGGAAATCACTGAGTCAGGAGCCGGCGGGTGGCAGGATGGGGGTGGTGGTGGCCCCTCAAGACCCAGCAGGTAGAAGAAGCCACAACCGGGGGGGCCTGGGGCACAGGGAGCAATAGGGAGTGGCGGCTCCAAGGTGTCCCACTTCCCAGCAGCAGTGCAGGGGCGGGGGGGGGGGGATTTTGCCCTAGGAAAGTAGGCCAGATGGAAGGAGGCAAATGAGTTCCGTCTGATGGTCTCAGGACCATAAAAGGTTTCTCTCACTACAGACAAGAGCCTGTTGTGAAGACCGGAATGTTCTGGAGGGATGGCGTGGGTTTCAACATGGGCGCCTCACTGTTCCCTCCATGCTGAGGTTACCTGTGATGTGACCAGCATGTGAAGGCTGCAGTGTAGGTGTGACCACTTCCGCTGCATGCAGTGGTGGGCCCGCGCAGGCCGTGCAGAGGCCAGGGAAAGTGGACTCTGATGAGACTTTCACTAGGTGTCAGGGACTTCATGGGGGACCCTGGGTTCAGAGGTTCCTGGGCCACCTCACCACCAAATCCACCACAGATTGCAGGGGAGTGAGCTTGCCTCCACCCTCGGGCTAGACAGGAGGCTGCAGGGCAGGGGGCGTGGCTTGCAACTCGGAACTTCTTGACCCGTCATTCCGGAAACGTGCAGGGACGGGATGTGGTCTGAATGATGGCTGGAGGCCCTGGTGGGGCTTGCAGGGGCAGCAGATGCCGTGCCCGCGTGTGCATGCATGTTGCCGGTGAGGTGAGAGCTGGTCCAGGGCTGCTGTCCTTCTTAGATACCTTCTGTAGAAGGTATCTAAATGTTATTTCTTGAATTGCCTTGGGTGAGTCCTCTCTCTTCATGTAATGAAATCTGGGCACATTCAAGATCCAGAGTGTACTTGGTGTGCGAAGTGGCTTTGAAAGTATGTGGGCAAGTGGAATCAAAAGATAAGTTTCCTTTGGTGCAAAAGTTTCAAAATCCATGCGTATCATTTTTACAGCATGTTTTTCTGTGAATTTTTCAGACTTTTTTTTTTTTAACGCATGGTTCTCAAAAATGCCTATGTACCGGAACAAATTTCTGCTTGAATTCCATTTTACCTGTACTTTCCAAAGTGCACTCATGTCGGGCAAGTGGGATACCCGCATGGCTCACGGCAGAATCTTTTTCCCCAAAGTCCTGGCTCATGTGCCTCTGTCCCTTCCATGAAGGCAGACCCTGCCAGTCTGCTATGTTGTCCTCAGAGGTCACACAGGGTGACGCCCAGGGCCACCCAGACTGTAATGTGCACCCACTGCAGGGTGCTGCTGAGCCTCCCTAGTTTTTTGTGCGCGGGGGCCTTATTGTTGGGGGCGCATCCTGCCCGCTTCCCAGCCACATTTCTGCTGATGAGCCCTGGGGCTGTGTCCAGTCTTGGGGAACTGCTTGTTTCTTTGCCGCTCACGTGACACATTTCTGCTGAGTACCTGTGTACAGAACCTGCCCACACATCTTGTAGAGCGGTCATACCAATTCAGACCGCTGTGAGGCAGCGTGGGAGTTATCAGAGGTCATCTTCGGGCTCATTGCCTTCTGTCTGTGGCCTTGGTGCAGCTTTCACTGCCCAGGAGTGAGGTTTGTGTCTAAGCTGCTCTCAGTAGCAGACCCGAAGGGAGAGGGAGGGAGCAAGAGGTTGGGGGTCGCCTGCTCCCACCTTTGCTTGGATCAGCAACTTGAACTCTCCAGCCTCTTGTTTTTGTACCTGCGGACACCCCTTCCACTCCAGCACTCACAAATCACTCTGACTGCATCAGTGTTTGACCTTGACATTGCCAGCAGAGGACCTCTGGCCCGTATACAGCCATCTGGATGACAGTAGCTCCACAGCCAACTTTCTTGGGGCAATTATCTCCACCCCCCCTTAGTCTCAGCTCTAGTTTTGCTACCTCCACACTCTGCGCCTTTCTGTGATAGGAATGTTAGATTTATATATATATATATATAAATAAATATATATATATAAAATATAAAAAAGACC